ACCCTTTAATTCCCTTTTTTTTTTTTTAATTTTTTTTCTGTTTTATTTCGCATTAGATCAGGGATCGCTTAATTTCTTTACATTTTTTTTTTTTTTTTTATTTCCCAGTGGATCAGGTTTAGCACCCTTTAATTCCTTTATTTTTTTTATTTTATTTTTTTATTTCCCAGTGGATCAGATTTAGGACCCTTTAATTCCATTTTTAAATTTTTTTTTCTGTTTTATTTCCCAGTGGATCAGGTTTAGAACCCTTTAATTCCTTTTTTTTTTTTTAATTTTTTAAATTTTTTAAATTTCCCAATGGATCAGATTTAGGACCCTTTAATTCCTTTTTTTTTTCTGTTTTATTTCCCAGTGGATCAGGTTTAGGACCCTTTAATTCCTTTATTTTTTTATTTTATTTTTTTATTTCCCAGTGGATCAGGTTTAGGACCCTTTAATTCCATTTTTTTAATTTTTTTTTTTTATTTTTCAGGAATTGTTGATGGGTGGGAAAGAAAATCCACCAGGACCTGGGCAAATCCAGGAATTCATTCCACAGGGGGATGGAAAATCAAAGCAGATCGATTGATTAATCAATCAATTAATTAATTAATTACAGCCCCTATTCCCTGAGCATCCCAAACTCGGGGTGGGATTTGGAAATCTGAAGGATTTGGGATAAAAAAATGGAATTTTATCAGGGTGGGGTGGGATGAGCCAACATTCCAAGCTCTATCCCAGTGCAGAAATCCTCTTTTCCCCCCCAAAAAAAATAAAATAAAATAAAATAAAATAAAATAAAATAAAATAAAATAAAATCCTGATTTCCTCATCTCCAAACTCAGAACCCACCTGGGAGGCCAAATTTGCTCCCAAATTTCCTCTCAGCTCCTTCCTCCCATCCTGAGCCTGCAATTCCTGCCCAGAAATTTCCCAATTTTTCAGCAAAACATCAAAATCCCACGATTAAAAACTCACAAATTCTGACGGATTTTCCCCCCAAATTTCCCCTTTTCTGGAATCCAGCAGCAGATGTTGAAGAACATCTGGATCATCCTTTTTTTTTTTTTTCCTCCAGATTCCAAAGTGAAGAACCGAGAGGAAAAAAAAAAAAAAATCAAATTTTTTTAGAATCGTTCAAGATCCATATTCAGTTTTTTTTTTTTTCCACTCAAACAAAACCCTGTGCCTTTTCCTTTTTTTTTTTTCTTGATGCTTTTCCCTTCATTTTTCTCATTTTTCACTCATCTTTTCTTTTCTAATTCAACCAAACCCTCCAAACCAGAGGAATTTTGCAAATTTGGGGATTTTTTTTTTTTTTTTGGTGAATTCTCTGCTAACCCAGCTGTTGAAAAATTGGATTTTCCTCTTTTTTTTTTAATTTTTTTTTTTTATTTTTTAGGGATATCCCAATGCCTTTGGTGAGCTCTGGGGTGGAGCACGGGAACCTGAGGGAGCTCGCCCTGGCCAGGATGAAAGACCTGGGGACACAGGTGAGTTTAAAAATAAAAAATAATAATTATTATTTAAAATTCCTCCTAAATTTCATATTTATTGACAATTAAACACAT